AGGTGATCACCGCCCATCATTCCCAATGCAGCACATAGTTCACGTTGTCCGATCACCATCACCTATCTACTCATCAAAATGATAAGTAGGGTCAAGCCAAGCCAAAACAAAACAAATACGTATTAGCCAAAATGCTAAGTACATACAAATGCTAGACAGGTAAAATCAATTTAATTAATTAAACATGCTTTCGAAAAGATTTAACTTTAATAAATCATAATTTATCCAAACCATTCCTGAATAGAAATTCATGTATAAAAACTTGTCAAAAGAACCAATTTCCGAAATAACCAACTTTCCAAAGATAATTCCGAATAGAATGGATCAGTCCATATTTTCATAAATCATTTTCCCATCTAAGTGTGCACACCCCCCAAGCTAGTAACTCCTTTACATAGTGCTATCAAGGGGAAAGACTAGGTCATACAAAGTCCATAATCTTCAACTTACTCCGCATAGTGGGAGTTAAAAATCCAAAGATCCAAGGAGTAAATCCTGTTAAATAAACCTTCCAATATCCCATACTCGGGATAATTTAAACAATAAAACTTCCTTTTTAAAACATCTTGAATATCAATATAAGTTTATAATCAACCGTATGAAATATTTAAACATTTGAGATCAAAGACTTAAAACATGTTTCACCAAAATATATTTCACAAACATTTAAACATGGTTCGAAATCAATTAACATGTAAATCACGTTGTATATAAAAGTCACTTATAAAAGATCTAGCCACGTGTACATACCTCGATCTTTGCACACAATTACGGAGCTCCTAATTTTGAACCCAAAATTCCTCCTATAACAAACCAATAATCCTAATCAAATACTTTTCAACCTATAGACACGAAGACTTAAAATACCGACTTTGACTTGTTGTGCATGACCAATTTATTAACACTTGTATTTATAAAATAATCTTTAACTATCCATAATAATAATAATAATAATAATAATAATAATAATAATAATAATAATAATAATAGTAATAATAATAATAATTATACTATTAATAATAATAAGATTAGTAGTAGTGATACGTAGGTAAGTAGAAGTATGATAGTAGTAATTGTAGTAGTAGTAATTCAGCAGCAACAACTACAATACTAACATCAATAATAATAGTAATAATAATAATAATAATAATAATAATAATAATAATAATAATAATAAATGGAAAGGTAGTAATAGTAGTACGTGGAATAGGAGTAGTAGTAGTAGTGAGTAGTAGTAGTGAATGTTGATAGTTATCATTGATTATAGTAGTGACAAAATAAGTAGTAGTAATACGTGAGTAGTAATAGCCTAGCAGGTAGTATGTAATTAGTAGTAAGACATAGTAGTGTATAATAGAAGTTCAAGAAGTATGGCAATAGCTTGGGACTTACAGTCAACAACAACAAGGAAGGAGGTAGCGGCACGACGGTAGTCGAGTGGCGGCAGTTTGGTGGCAGCGAGGTGGGTGCTCGTGAGGAGCCCAAGACCACGGATAAAGGCTAAAAAGGAGGTGAGTATGGAGGAGGAAGAAGCTAGTAGGAGGAAGAAAGTAAGAAGAGGAAGTAGTAGAGAGGAGTATGAAGGGGAGCTTGGAGGATGAAATGGAGTGAGGTAGTCATGGCTATTTATAGAAGTGACTTGATACTATGCCATCCATATTCTTAATTGTAGGAGGCAAGTGGGCATGCAAGTGGGTGGGTTTTTCCCCCCTCTTGCCGACATCAATTTTTTTTTATATATATATATACATATTATTATATATATTTTGAATTAGATATTTTTGTGTAGTACTAGCGTACCACACATATGAGTTGAACTCGTATATAAATAGCGAATTTGTACTTTGTCGTCTGAATCGGGTACAATTTATTAACGGTTGATAATTTGATTTGGGTACGACAAATTTTTGACTTGGCTCGTATAATTAAAATCATCATAAAATATAGATATAAAATTATCATATAAATATTTTGTATGATAAAATATATCGGAAAATCCATATTTAATAATTATTAAACGACTTAAAAATACGGGGTATTATAGTCTACCCCCCTTAAAAGAAGTTTCGAACTCGAAACTTGAGAAAAAGTTGGTTAAATATTCCAAGTTAATATAAATTGGCTCATCCACAACTTATAATGACTCGAAATGACTCAACTAGCAACTCAAAATGACTCAAAACTGACCAAAAAGGGGCAAAAGCACGAAACTCTATCGCATTCTACCCCCCTTAAAAGGAGTTACGCCCCCGTAACTCGACTAACCTCCGAAAACAATTCTGGATATCTTTTCCTCATATCTGCTTTGGCTTCCCAAGTAGCTTCCTCGGTTTTATGGTTTGACCATAAAACCTTGACTATTTTAACATCCTTGTTCCTGGTGCTTCTCACCTTACTATCTAAAATCTTCGCAGGCCTTTCCTCATAAGTCAAGTTTTCATCCATCTCAATGGTTTCAGGCTGTAAAACATGGGAAACATCTGGTATGTACTTCCGAATTTGGCTCACATGGAACACATTGTGAACTTTTTCTAGCTCGTTAAGCAAATCCAACTTGTATGCTACCTTTCCCACCTTTTGGATGATCTCGTAGGGTCCAATGTAGTTCGGGCTTAACTTTCCTCTTTTCCCGAACCTCATCACTCCCTTTATCGGGGATATTTTCAATAAAACTTTCTCACCTACTTCGTATTCCTCATCCCTCCTTTTGAAATCTGCATAGCTCTTTTGACGATCCTGTGCGGCTTTTATTTTCTCTTGAATTATCTTTACTTGTTTCACCGTCTCTTCGATCATTTCCGGCCCAAGTGTAACAGTCTCGCTTATGTCGTTCCAACATATCGGGCTTCTACACTTTCGCCCATACAAAGCCTCGAATGGCGTCATCCCAATGCTTGCATGATAACTGTTGTTGTAAGAAAATTTTATCAAGTCCAAATGATTTTCCCATGAACCCTGGTACTCCAAAACACATGATCTCAACATATCGTCTAATGTCTGTATAGTTCTCTCTGTTTGACCATCGGTTGCGGGGTGGAATGAAATTCTCATCAACAACTTAGTCCCCATAGCCTTTTGTAAACTCTGCCAGAAGTTGGATAAGAACCTCGAGTCTCTATCCGAGATGATGTCCTTCGGCACACCATGGTATTTCACCACAAATTTCACATACGCTCTTCCCAATTGATCCATCGACCATGTACTCCTCATGGGTATGAACGTTGCACATTTCGTTAGTCGATCCACTATGACCCAAATTGTATCATTTCCTGCTCAATTCTTGGGTAAGGCTCCCACGAAATCCATAGAGATCGAATACCACTTCCAACTAGGCACCTCCAAGGATTGAATTGTTCCTTGGGGTCTCTTATGCTCGATTTTTACCTTTTGACAAGTCAAACACCTAGCCACAAATTCTGCCACTTCCCTTTTCATGTTCGGCCACCGGAATGTATTTTTCATGTCCTTATACAACTTATCCCCTCCGGGATGCATTGAATAAGGAGAACTATGAGCTTCCTCCATCAACTTTTGCTTCAGATCACTTCGATTTTGGGGAACACACCATCTCCCTTTAAACCTCATGCTTCCATCATCGGCTATTGAAAAGTCCAATATTTGCCCTTCCTCGATCTTTTCTTTAATCTTGTTTAACTTTTCATCTCCGGGCTAACTTTCCCGAATTTCATCATAGATTGACGGTCTGCTCAACAAGGCACTCAAGATCTTCTTAACTTCTCCTTGTTCCAATACCTCCAAATTCAACTTTTGGAATTCCGCACACAATTGATCTGGTAGAATCATTGCATTAATTGCATGACTTGACTTCCTACTTAATGCATCAGCAACAACATTCGCTTTCCCTTCATGATACTGAATCTCCAAATCATAATCCTTAATCAACTCCAACCATCGTCTTTGTCTCATGTTCAACTTCTTTTGAGTGAATATGTACTTCAAACTCTTGTGATCGGTGTAAATCCTACATGTTACTCCGTACAAGTAGTGTCTCCAAATCTTTAATGCAAACACAATTGCGGCTAACTCTAAGTCATGGGTCGGGTAATTCACCTCATAAGGCTTCAACTGTCTCGAGGCATAAGCAATCACCTTCCGATTTTGCATCAACACACAACCTAACCCGAACTTTGATGCATCACTATACACCTCATACTGCTCACTTCCATCAGGCAGGGTTAACACAGGTGCTGAGTCAACTTCTCTTTAAATGTCTGAAAAGCCTTCTCACACTCTGGAGTCCACTCATACTTACATTCTTTCCTCATTAAGCTCGTCATCGGCCTTGCAATTCTCGAGAAATCCTTAACAAATATCCTATAATAACCTGCTAACCCAAGAAAACTCCGAACATCTGACACACTCCTCGGGGTCGGCCATTCACTTACTGTCTTTACCTTTGATGGATCAACCGATACTCCTTCCTTAGAAATCACATGACCTAGGAAAGCTACCTCTTCCAACTAAAACTCGCACTTTGAGAGTTTGGCGTACAATTGATGCTCCCTCAAGGTTGACAATACCACCCTCAAATGATCCTCATGCTCTTTCGGGTCCCTCGAATACACCAAAATATCATCGATAAACACCACAACAAACTTATCCAAGTATGGCCTAAAACTTCGGTGCATTAAATCCATAAAAACCGCAGGTGCATAGGTTAACCCAAATGGCATCACAGTGAATTCATAGTGACCATAACGAGTCCTAAAAGCACTTTTTGCAATGTCCGACTCTGCTATCCTCAACTGATGATACCCCGACCTCAAATCGATCTTCGAGAATATTCCCGCCCCTTTTAACTGGTCGAACAAATCATCGATCCTAGGTAAAGGGTACTTATTCTTGATCGTGACATTGTTCAACTCTCAGTAATCTATACATAGCCTCAAGCTTCCATCCTTCTTCTTTACGAAAAACACCGGTGCACCCCATGGTGATGAACCCGGTCGAATTTATCCTTTCTCCATCAAGTCGTCTAACTAAGTCTTCAACTCTTTCATCTCAGCCGGGGCCATCCTATATGGAGCCTTTGAAATAGGTCCTGTCCCGGGCACTAAGTCTATAGTAAACTCAACATCCCTCACAGGTGGCATCCCTGGAATTTCTTCAGGAAAAACGTCAAGAAATTCATTTACTACTGGAATATTTTTCCTATCCTCTATATCTCCTTCTTCTATCCTTTGGACACTACACAAATACAGTGGATATCCTTTTGCTACACACTTCTTAAGTTGCAAAGCAGATATGATCTTTAACCCTAATTTCTTTCCCTCCCTTCAATAGGTTACCCTAACTTTGCTTGGGCCACACAACGTGACCTTTTGGGCCTCGCAATCAATTTGGGCCTTGTACTTGCCCAACCAGTCCATCCCCAAAATAACATCGAGATCTTGTAAGTCAAGCTCGATTAAGTCTGACGGAAATTCTAATTTTGAAATGACAAGAGGTACACCCTGATGCATCTTAGTGCAACTCACCACTTCCCCTGACGGGATAGAAATATCTAAGGAAACAGACACCGGACTCTCTAGCTTGAGTCTATCTACTAAAGTTCTAGAAATAAAAGAGTGAGACGCCCCTGAATCGAACAAGACTTTAGTAGACGTAGAATAAATAAAGAAATTGCCAATTACCACATAAGAAGTAGTTGCAGCCTCACGATTGTTCATCACGAACACACGACCTTTGGGAGCGGCTCCACTATTGTTGGGTGTTGACTTAGGAATGAATCCACTGGGCTGAGCTGGCTTGGGTTGGTTCTTCTCATCTTACGGTTTACCCGACTGCTCATCAGAGACCTTCTTATAATACTCATACTCACGGTGACCTAGCTTTTGACAATAGCGGCAAGTCACTAGGTTTCCCTCACAATCCCTTCCTGGGTGGTTCTTCGTACATCTCTTGCAAAAATAGGTTCTCTTGGGTTTGTCTACATTCCCTCGGTTCCTATTCCCTCTTTCAAAATTACCCCTGCTGTCCCTTTTCCCATTGAAATTCCCACTCGGGTTCTCCTCAACTTTGGGTTTCTTCTCACTCCCATTGAAAGTCCCACTAGGCTTCCTCTTTTCCCCGGAAAAGTTTCCCTCTAGCTCTCTCCCCTTGATCCCATAAAGGTGCGCTGCTCTCCCATAAACCTCATCTAAAGTTTCAAAGGTCACTCCTCCTAGTTTTCCTAGAAGGGTCAAAGTCAAACCTTCTCAAACCTCTGTGCCTTAAGTGCTTTAGTTGGTACTACCTCAGGTGCAAATCTCATCAACTCAATGAACTTGCTATAATACTCATTAATTGTCATGTTCCCCATCCTAAGGTTAGTAAACTCCATACACTTTTGTTTCCTCAAGTAGGAAGGGTAAAACTTCTCTCTTAAAGCTTCCTTAAATTCAGCCCACCCAAAGTTAGGAATACTCAGTAAGTCATTCCTCCTTTGACTCCACCATAAATCGGCTTCCTCTCTAAGGTAATAAACATCATTATTGACTTTTAATTCCTCGGGACAATTTATAGCATCAAAAAGTTTATCGAACTCTCTCACCCAATTTTCTAAGCTTGCTGGGTCTACCTTGCCAAGGTAAGTGGGTGGTTTGGCCGCAGCTACTCTCTTAAAAACTTCCCTAAAAGCATCAAGGTCATTATGGGCTTTTCCCTGATTTGAGACAATACCGGCTATGTTTTCGGTTATTTTGGTTAGCCTTTTGATGACAGAGCTGACTTTGTACTTACTCCCTTTCTTGATTCGTTGCCTTAGAGACATGATCCTGAATAATGTGGTAATTAGACACATGAATTTACAAACAAATTGTTCATCTATCCAACAAAGACTCAATCAGCGATATGATAACTTTACTATTCACAAAATATCTTGAGTACTAAACGTTCATCAATTTAACTAGTAAGTTTAAATTGTCATTTTAGAAGCAACTCTACGTAATCATCTCAAATAAATAATCACAAGATTTATCATAAATTGCATACAATTATAATATACAAATCAACAAACACTTGTCCATATAATTCATCACATAAGAGTGTAATTTACCATCCAATCCATTTCCAATTTAGGAATAACTATCGAATAATAATTCATGAACCTTCACTAATATGCCATGGAATATAAAAATTCCCAAAAGACTATCAATCCTAATGCAATTCGAAATTAAATTCGAACCTTTATACTCTAAAACATAGTTTGGACGTTTGCTTAGTCCATATGCACATAATTCACGTAAAGTTCGAAATCACCTTTTGATTACCTTTCAAATTCTTTTAATTTCGAAAATATTATATATAGTTATAAGTTGAATACTTGATTCATAATATGGATTAATTGGACCAATGAGGTCCCAGGTAGGAGAGGTTAGGGTTGACGTTGCCCGGAGCCCAAATCCTGCCTTAGCCAGAGCTCATTGTCAATCCAATAATCCCCACTATTAATCTTTCTTCGTATTAAAATAGAAAGTAATTTTTACTTAAATATATATTTAATATATACTTTCGGAAAAACAAATGCGAAACTCTATCCTATATGCCCTTCTTAGGTCTACCCATCAGTTTTATATACCAATTTTTATCTTTTTAAGACCCGAAAACTGATACCACTTTGTAACACCCCCAAATTACTCTCTAATATTTACAATAGTATCCAACTTTAGGGAGTAACATGGGAGTATTACTGCCACGTGATTACGTAAGGCTTAACAGAGTTTTGCAGCGGAAAACAGTACTTATCTTTTATTAATAATAATAGTAATAATAATAGTTTGATACACTTTCAAAGTAGCTACACCACTAACACTATGTTTACTAGGTGATCACCGCCCATCATTCCCAATGCAGCATATAGTTCACGTTGTCCGATCTCCATCACCTATCTACTCATCAAAATGATAAGTAGGGCCAAGCCAAAACAAAACAAATACGTATTAGCCAAAATGCTAAGTACATACAAATGCTAGACAGGTAAAATCAATTTAATTAATTAAACATGCTTTCGAAAAGATTTAACTTTAATAAATCATAATTTATCCAAACTATTCCTGAATAGAAATTCATGTATAAAAACTTGTCAAAAGAACCAATTTCTGAAATAACCAACTTTCCAAAGATAAATCCGAATAGGATGGATTAGTCCATATTTTCATAAATCATTTTCCCATCTAAGTGTGCACACCCCCCAAGCTAGTAACTCCTTTACATAGTGCTATCAAGGGGAAAGACTAGGTCATACAAAGTCCATAGTCTTCAACTTACTCCGCATAGTGGGAGTTAAAAATCCAAAGATCCAAGGAGTAAATCCTGTTAAATAAACCTTCCAATATCCCATACTCGGGATAATTTAAACAATAAAACTTCCTTTTTAAAACATCTTGAATATCAGTACAAGTTTATAATCAACCGTATGAAATATTTAAACATTTGAGATCAAACACTTAAAACATGTTTCACCGAAATATATTTCACAAACATTTAAACATGGTTCAAAATCAATTAACATGTAAATCACGTTGTATATAAAAGTCACTTATAAAAGATCTAGCCACGTCTACGTACCTCGATCTTTGCACACAATTACGGAGCTCCTAATTTCGAACCCGAAATTCCTCCTATAACAAACCAATAATCCTAATCAAATACTTTTCAACCTATAGACACGAAGACTTAAAATACCGACTTTGACTTGTTGTTCATGACCAATTTATTAACACTTGTATTTATAAAATAATCTTTAACTATCCGTAATAATAATAATAATAATAATAATAATAATAATAATAATAATAATAATAATAATAATAATAATAATAATAATAATAATAATAATAATAATAATAATAATAATAATAATAATAATAATAATAATAATAATAATAATAATAATACTAATAATAATAATAATAATAATAATAATAATAATAATAATAATAATAATAATAAGAGTAGTAGTAGTGATACGTAGGTAAGTAGTAGTATGATAGTAGTAATTGTAGTAGTAGCAATTCAGCAGCAACAACTACAATACCTACATCAATACTAACATCAATAATAATAATAATAATAATAATAATAATAATAATAATAATAATAATAATAATAATAATAATAATAAATGGAAAGGTAGTAATAGTAGTACGTGGAATAGGAGTAGTAGTAGTAGTGAGTAGTAGTAGTGAATGTTGATAGTTATCATTGATTATAGTAGTGACAAAATAAGTAGTAGTAATACGTGAGTAGTAATAGCCTAGCAGGTAGTATGTAATTAGTAGTAAGACATAGTAGTAAGACATAGTAGTGTATAATAGAAGTTCAAGAAGTATGGCAATAGCTTGGGACTTACGGTCAACAACAACAAGGAAGGAGGTGGCGGCATGACGGTGGTCGAGTGGCGGCAGTTTGGTGGCAGCGAGGTGGGTACTCGTGAGGAGCCCAAGACCACGGATGAAGGATAAAAAGGAGGTGAGTATGGAGGAGGAAGAAGCTAGTAGGAGGAAGAAAGTAAGAAGAGGAAGTAGTAGAGAGGTGTATGAAGGGGAGCTTGGAGGATGAAATGGAGTGAGGTAGTCATGGCTATTTATAGAAGTGACTTGATACTATGCCATCCATATTCTTAATTGTAGGAGGCAAGTGGGCATGCAAGTGGGTGGGTTATTCCCCCCTCTCGCCGACATCATTTTTTTATATTATTATATATATTTTGAAGTAGATATTTTTGTGTAGTACTAGCGTACTACACATATGAGTTGAACTCGTATATAAATAGCGAATTTTGTACTTTGTCGTCTGAATCGGGTACAATTTATTAACGGTTGAAAATTTGATTTGGGTACGACAAATTTTTGACTTGGCTCGTATAATCAAAATCATCATAAAATATTGATATAAAATTATCATATAAATATTTTGTATGATAAAATATATCGGGAAATTCATATTTAATAAATATTAAACGACTTAAAAATACGGGGTATTACAATCATAGGATAAGAAATAGAAGGAGGGGGTGCTACAACTAAGGACTTGGATGACTCTACAGGAAAAGACTCTGACTCTGACTCTGATTCTGTCTCAGACGACTCTTCATACATCGGTCCTTGCCCTGTCATTATGGAGATTTTCCTTCCACTTGGAGTAGTCACCTTGACTGTCTTGCGCCATCCTTGTACTGATCCTTCTGCTGGAGTGATGAGATTTGAGGGGTCAAAGTTCTCGCTTTGTAGGACTGTTTGGATGAGCGAGAAGTTACTCTCTATGTACTTCGGCTCATCTTTTTTCTCGCCCAAATAATAATCCCACGACATTAAAGCCAAAGCATGGGGGTGCTTTCTCCTTGTGGATAAGAGTTGGGATTTCATCTAGAAAGAAGCAATCTAAGAAAATTTTAAATCCCGGTTTCCTTATGCCATTTAAAACAAAAGGTTCGGGAAATTCATAGCATGGATAGTCCTCTCCTTCTTTTATGAATTGTCCATTGAGAGTAAGAGGATACTAATCCATTAGGATTGCTTTCTTTTGGATGCGAGTGTTCCTACGCGCTTTAGACCTTTCCTGGGCTCACGTAAGATCTTCTTGAGTCTGTTCGAAACCAAGTCCGAAAGTGTCTAACTTAGGGAGGCCGGGTAATTCCAGCTGTTTTGCTATTCCCTTCTTCTTTCCTAGAGTCATTCCAGGAAAATGCTCTTGTTTCTTAAGAATAGCATTTATCGTCATATTGGAGTGGGGGTCGTGGCAGAGAGGGGTCCTTTCATCCTCCTCGATTAAGGAGACCTCTTCATTAAAGCCCCACAAATCTTCATCATTTTCATCGTTCTCCACATTAATGATTGGATTTTCCACATATTCAATCCTCATGGGTGAAGCATCGATTGTAATAGGGATTCCTCCAACTATGGATTATATTTGTTGGTGGAGAGATGAAGGGACGACCTTTAGGTCATGAAGCCAAGGGCGGCCTAACAATAAGTTGAATGAAGCCTTAATGTCTACCACTTGAAAGGTAGTAGAATGTTCTATTGCTCCCGCCGTTATATTCATGGTAATCTTACCAAGAGCTTGACGACGAGTGTTGTCATAAGCTCTTATTCCTTGTGTTGACGGGGTTAAGTCTTCATCCCTTATACCTAACATCCTCGTAGTTTTGAGTGGATAGACATTAATTGCCGATCCATTGTCTACAAGAGTCATAGGGACATTCATTCTCTTGTAAACCACTGTGAGGTTTAATGTCTTATAATGCCTGTCACCTTCTGGAGGTAAATCTTTGTCAGAAAAGGTGATCAAGTTGATAGGAATAGGAAGATCACTCGTAAGGAAGTTAGCCAACCCCTCAGGAGTGGTGTCATAATCTATCCCTATCTTATCCAAGGCATTCATCAATGCCAACCTATGCTCTCGAGATGTTGCTAGAAGCTTCCATACATTCATCTCGACCTTGGTCTTCTTGAATTGTTTGACAATATCATTGTCTTCTATGATAGGTGTGGGAACTTGCTGCGTCGTCGGCATAGGTTATGTTGAGATAGGAGGTTGTGTTCTCCCAGACCTTGTGAGGACGTCTATAGATGAATCCTCTTTTACCCGGAAATCATCTATTGAATATGACACTGAAGGTGGAGTTTCTTCTTTTAGGTAGACATCTTCTTCATCGCTGTCCCAAACCCCATTAATACTTATGTCTTCTTCTCGTGGGATTTGAACTAGCTTCTTATCATCAATCATTTTCTGAATTAAATCTTTAAATTTAAAACAGTTTTCAATAGTGTGTCCCCCTGATTGATGGTATTGACAATAGAATCTATTTGTCCTCTTTAGCGATTCAAATGGTCTCGCTTCGAGAGGTTTGATCTTGCCACTCTCGGAGAGCATTTTGAACATTTTAGCATATGAAGTCCCAATTGGAGTATAGAGTCTATTACTCTTCTTGGGTCCGTCAGTTACTTGTAGAGAGAATGCTTTCTTCTTTGTGGGCGGAATTTTATCAATCTTTTTCTGAAGCCCCTCTGCTTGTTTCTTTGCAAATTTGAGAGCCTCACGTAGCAAATTTGTTACCTCCCACATGGACCATATAAGCATTTGTACATCTCCCTTGCTTGCTGGTTCAGGAAAGTCATCCATGACATCGAAAAAGATCTCCTCCTCTTCTTCGATAGCATGAATTTCTGTAATAGGCTTGATGAGAGGTGAGGGATCAACCTCGTTTTCCTCATCAGATATGGCCAAAGAATGAGCAAGAGGTTCATTGTCGATACTTGGCTTCTTACTGGCAGGGGGCAATGGTAGTTTGTTATTATCAATTAAATCTTGGATAGCTTCCTTTAGCTTCCAACAATTTTCAGTGAGGTGGCCCCTACCTTAGTGATATTTGCAGTGTGCACTGGGGTTCCAATTAGCTAGGGGTGTTCAAATTCGGGTACCCGGGTTTTTGAGTACCCAAAAACCCGAGTACCTGGAGTTTCGGGTACTTGTTAATTTTTCCCATGTCTCGACCCGAATATCTCGGGTACCCGAGTTCCGGGTACCTGAATTATTCGGGTCGGGACATAGGGTACCCGAATTTTTGAATGATTGTAATTAATTTGCTCCCAAAAGTTAAAAAATTGAAAAACAATTTAGATCTACTACCCAAACTCCACACAATCAAACAACCAAAATACAAAATAACCAATTACACAAAGCTTTGTTTCAATAACAATAATAAAATTTGAAATATACAAATAATTAGAAGGAAAAAAAATCTAATTAGAAATTGCAAGTACAGTCTTGCAACAATAAATTATATTAGAAAGTATAATTAGAAAGTGTAGTTAATTTGCTCCCAAGGTACTTTTGCATGTCTTGCAAGTTGCAACATAGAACGCACTGCAACGCCGACCACCTCGACATTGTTGGGTGAAGTAGCACGCAGGAAATTCAAAATCTGAGATTTTGGGTTATCAAAGTTTTGATTTTTCTAGGAAATTTGTGGGAAATTTGTCGTACTTTCGTAGTTGTAGTGGTGACATTGTAAAGTTGTACAAGTAGGAAGAACAGAGAAGAACTCAAGGAAGAAGAAGGAAGGAAGAGAGAGAGAGAGAGAGGAAGGAAGAGAGAGGAAGAGAGAGAGGCAGGGAGATAGAGAGCGGCGGAGAACCCTAAGTTTGTTTCAAAAATCAAAACAGAAGGGGCTTGTGGGCTGGGCTTAGACCCTTAGTAGAAATTTTTTTAAAATATTAATTTATTTTCGGGAATTCGGGTACCCGGGTATTAAAAAATGTGGCCCATATCCCGACCCGGATAACATGTAATTTTCCCGGGCTGGGTACCCGTCCTGAAAAAATATTTTTTTTCCCCAAATTTCCCATCGGGTATTTACCGGGTCGTCGGGAAATCGGGTTGGGATAATCGGGTCGGGTTTTTTTTAACACCCCTACAATAAGCTGTCCTCTTCTCAATTGGTGGGTCCCCAAATGGTCTAATAGGAGTTATAAGACCTTTTGCATTTAGTCGGTCAAATGCGGTGTCATAACTCATACCTATAGGAGTAAAGTTCCTCCTAAATGGTTTCTTTTGTCCTTGGTTGTTCATAGCAAGGACTTCACTCAGATTGAAGGTGCTAACATTGTTTTGAGTGGGTGGTTTTGGAAGAAGAAGGATTTTCGTTCTTCTTGCCTTTCCATCCACTGTTGGAATTACTGTTAGCAGCTTTTAGCTTAGCCAGGTCGTCTTCAATATTAATTCCAATGTCATATACGGCCTTGAAGGTATGTAGATTATTTTGATACTTCAGATGCTTGGAGTACTTCTCTTGAAGGTTTTTGATGAACAACCTCACAGATTATTTCTCGCTTGGTACTTCAATCATCCTAGCAGAGGTTTCTCTCCATTTGTTAAAGAAGAAGTGAAACTTCATTCTCTTTCTGCTTGAGTATTTCAAGTTCCCTATAATCAGTTTCAACTTGAATGTTGCACTTGTACCTATCAATAAAAGCGTTCACTATTGATTCCCAAGTAGAGGTTCTCTCTTTGTCAAGGGAGAAGAACCATTGTTGGCAAACGGTTTCAAGAGATAGAGAAAATAAAGAGGGGAACACTTTCTTATCGATACCCTTAATACTCATTATTGTTTCAAAAGCTCTTAGATAAAAATAAGGGTTGTCAGTTGCCTTGAATTTTGGGATGTCGTTGGCATTGAACTTCTGCGGAAGAAGCTCCTTGTCCATCGAGACCCCTTGTGAACTAATGCCTTGAAACTTGTTGTCACTAGACACAGCTTGCTCAAGCTTTCTTGCATGAGGTCCATCTGTTGTTGCTTCATAGGGTCATTGATTTTGAGGGTTAAAGCCTTCAACACCTCAGTCACATCAGTCAATTGGTTCCTAAGTTCATTAACTTCCTCCATAGTTGCCATTATCTTCTTAGATTTCCTTTTACGAGCGATTGGTTTGTCGAAAAGTTGAACTTGAATGAAAATGTTGTCTTTGATCAAACGCCCTTCCTTTCTTGACCACACGCTGTAAATTAAACCATTTTTGTTTTAATGACTTGACTCAAATTGACTTTGACTTTACGGGTTTATAAAGAAAAAGAAAAAAGCAAAAATAGGGTGTATATTTTTTTGGGAATCAAGTATAGGGTTCAAACAAGTGGTTTAGTTGGAGGATTAATATACGACTTACCCTTTTAAAAAAAAA